CTGAGAGGCGCTCTATATGAGTTTCAAATGTTGGTGAAAAGACGATGACGTCGTCCAAGTAGCACGAACAGGTGGACCATTTGAATCCTCCGAGCAGGGAATCCATCATTCGTTCGAAGGTGGCTGGAGCGTTACAAAGGCCGAAGGGCATGACCTTGAACTGATATAGGCCATCGGGGGTAATGAATGCCGTCTTCTCACGGTCCATTTCATCTACCTCTATCTACCAGTAGCCGGAACGAAGGTCTATGGAGGAAAAATAGTGGGACCCATAGAGGCAATCAAGCGCATCATCTATTCGTGGCAGAGGGTAGACGTCTTTTTTGGTAATTTTGTTTAGGTGTCGATAATCCACGCAGAAACACCATGCACCGTCTTTCTTGCGGACTAGCACTACAGGAGAAGCCCAGGGACTGCAGGATGGCTCAATGATGTCCTTGGCAAGCATTTTGTCGACCTCACTTTGGATAATGTGACGCTCAGCCGCCGACACCCGATATGGACGCCTATGAATGGGATGCTCATTACCAGTGTTTATGCGGTGGCTCATACCGGTAGCTTTCCCCAACAGATGCCCGCTGATGTCAAAAACGTCGATGTAGGACAGCAGAACCCGGTAGAGCTCGTCAGTCTGCTGCGGCGTTGCAGAACCCGGTAGAGCTCGTCAGTCTGCTGCGGCGTTAAGTTGGAAGCGATCATCAACGTAATAGCGCTGTCAGAGCAAGTAGCAGATTGATGTTGAGCGTGGGGGTCAGAAGGAGCGGCCATCGCGAAAACATCCACCGCATTGTCTTCTAAGGTGCCGAGCAACGCCAAAGAGATCCCTTGTGGCAGAACATGAGGTGTCAAGCTAAAGTTGACAACTGGAAGGCACGTAGAATTTCTTGCGACGAACAGAATGATGTGCGGTAATGTAATGCCACGGTTTATGAGGACATCGGTGATAGGGGTCAGGACATAGTCACCATCAGGAACTGACGGTATTGAGACGAGCTCTACGTAGGCCAGTGTCTGTGGAGGGAGGCGTGCATGTCCCGTTGTGCAGAGGCGACTCGGCCGTTGTGCAAGAGGTTTTGTTGCGGGCAAGTGTAGACAGAGCGTACTGGTCGAACAGTCTATGAGGGCAGAATGCGCTGACAGGAAGTCGAGGCCTAAGATTACGTCGTGGGGGCATTTATCAAGGACGGTGAAGAGAACAACTGTGTGTCAATCCGCAATGCTCACACGAGCGGAGCACATTCCAACGATAGATGCTATTCCACCATCCGCAATACAGACGACAGACGAACTGAGTGGTCGCAGATGTGAGAACCTTCTTGAGCTTGCGGCGAAAATCACTCGTCATCACGGAAAGTTGAGCGCCGGTGTCGACAAGAGCAGTGACATGTACGCCGTTTACTTGTACGTCTATGAGGTTCCGTTTTGTCGGTATCGTCAAAAGAGGATAATGGGTCAGTCCGAGCGATGCAGCGCCACCTCCGGGGGCTGCAACACATAGTTTTCCGTCGGGGAACCTCGTGGGAAGGCGGGGAAAGATGGTCAGCAGGTCTGTGCAGAGCGAGACTGGCGACGTTGGGGGGATGGAGAGCGGGAGTAGCGGTGTTCAGAAGCAGGTTCCTGGGCACAATGGTCACGACTGGTCTCATGGCGATAGGCAGGACGTGCATAGAAGGGGCGCGAGGACGGTTGTGCAGGAGGACCCCAGCGACTTCTGCAATGGCGCGAAATGTGCCCGATTCTGTGACACAAGAAGCAGATCGGCTTGTCATCGTGTGTTCGCCATGCAGACGGATTACGGAACGTTGAGGGAGAGCCGGTCGGAAATCGACGTGCAGGCGTGTATTGGGGCTGGTAGTCGGTGCGGGGAGGCGGTGAGATAGAGTGAATTCCCAAGCTGGTGATTACCTGCCGGACGACTGCTTGAATGAGAGGCAACGTAATTGGCAGAGAGGGGTCAGGGGACGTTGGTCGCACCTTAGCTGGAGCAGCCGCTTCAAGTTCCCGCCAGACAATTCGCGTCAAGTTGTCACAGGTGTCTGGTGGATGATATGTGTCAAGACACGAGGACGTCGCAATGGTGTTCGGGAGGCGCTGAAACTGATGGGAGATGCGTCTGCTTTTAGCTTGTTGGAACCGGCGGCATTCTTGAATGATCGCATCAACAGATGACACATTGTTGAATACCAACAAGTTAAACGCAGCGTCGGCGATGCCCTTTAGAATATGCGCAACTTTTTCAGGTTCGGACATGTTTTCGTCAGCTTGGTGGCATAGTGAGAAGACAGCCTGAATGTAACCGATGTAGGGCTCCGTGGAAGATTGTGCGCGAGTCGACAACTCATTTTTCGCAGCTTCACGACGAACAGAGATGTTGCCAAAAGCTCACAGATCTTTTCCTTGAAGCTGTCCCAGCTTGTTATGCCATGCTCGTGGTTGTCAAACCAAACACGAGGGGTTCCGTCGAGATAAAAGATGACGTTTGCGAGCATAAGAGTGGGATCCCACCTGTAAGTGGCGTTGACGCCTTCGTAGAGGCGCAGCCACTGGTCGACGTCGGAACCCTCGCTGCCCGAGAACACGCCGAGGTCTTTGTGAGCGCGGAAGCGGCACGAAAGCTGTTGCGGGCGCTGGGTTGACAGGCCGGGCAGAAGGGCGGGCGACCGGAGAGAATGTAGCCGAGTCTTGAGTGGTCGTGTTGTAAGCCACGAGGGAGCGTCCGCTTCGGAGTTCCGTGGCAAGGACAGGGATCGCACAACTCCACCAAATATGTTACGACAGACTCGGAGGGGTAGTCACCGATGTATTTACAGCCGGTTGAACGAGCAGCGCCAGCCACACAGATTAGCTCGCGACAGTCTATCTGCTTTGTCTTCTTCAACTCCATGCACTGGCACGTAGCAATACATTTGCACCTGTAGCAGAGCGTGAAAGGTAGCTTTGCCAAAATAACGAAGTGTGGTGAGATTAAACATAAAAAAGGGGCCACTTTCCATCAGACGTGTACTGTGTTTGTTTTTAAGGGGGGACGCGGGTCTTAGAAAAGTAAAAAATGGCCAAAAAATCGATTTTGAGAAAAACGCATTTTTCGAATCTTTGAACTTATAAGCACCTCTCCTCAAATTATTAACGCTAAATTCGATAAAAAAAAATAGGTTAAAATCTATTTTCAAACCATCACGGGAGTCGCAAAACAACCCGCAAAACAGAAAATTTGTTCGAACTTCCCGCGCGTGCCGCCAGCGAAGCAGCCGGCGGATCGGCGCCATCTTGGGCTTGTTTTGAAGCTGGTTCCTTTGTGCGCGTTTTGCGGGCTCTCAAAATGGCGTAGCTCCAACACAACGACTGCCCTCCCCCGTTTTGCGAAGCCGTCTGCCGGACCACTGATTGGCTAGAGCGCGCACGCGCCGGCGAGCCCCCCCCCCCCCCCCCCCCCCCGTCTCGCGCTTACCATTGGCTGGCGCGGCGGCGCGGCCACGGTTGCTTGCTCTTTTTTTTTTTTTTTTGGTTTTGCTCCGTCGGCGCCTGCTCTCGTGCGTGTTATCTCGTCTGCTACCCGCTCGTGTACCGAAGTCGCTGACGTATACGTCTTTCTGCATTTCGCCGGCATGGCTTGGGAAGCTCGCCTGAAGAAGAACACTCGTCAAGCTTTCGGCAGGAAATGAAAGCGAGCGTGGAATGCGCGGCAGAAGGGAGCGGCCTGCGCGCCGCCGAGAACGCCAGAGATGGCTGAGGCAGCGCATTCAAATAGTGTTTTATGTATAGTGTTTTATTTTAAAATAGTGTTTTATGTATAGGCAGCGCAAACAAATAGTGTTTTATGTATAAAAGGGTGATGTTTTTATATATAACATGTGTCTTCCTTTGGTTTTCAGTGCACTAGAACAGCCACAAAGTTGTAGACTGGGTTCCTTATACTGATTCAACGGCCACTACACAGTTTTTAAATGAGCTGTGGCAAATATTTTGGGAAGGTGCATTGACACATTTGGTACAGCCATACTCACATAATGTAGAGCTATACAACGGTGCCATTTTTATTGCTCTAGCTTCACTTTAGCAAAAGTTACAGTTATTTGAAACTTTAAATGTGTTTTTCTCAGTTCGATGTTTTTGTGCACCACACTAAACCTTAGGGGTTTTTCTTATATGTTACTGTTGATTGAGAATGACAAACTTGGTATCAATTTATTTGTAATAACATTACCTATGGGGTGATGCTATTTTGATTACTCTAGAAGCATACTGTTAATTACAATTATGGATAGTAATGAGCGAAAATTGAACAGAATATCCATTGTAAGTGCTGGTCTGTTTTCTTATCTATATAATGCCTAAAAATTAATAAAAATAGCATCACCCCATACCGAAAGCCCTCAGCATTGGGGCTATGCATTTATTTTTTGGATCTGGCTTGATTAAGTTGCCAAAAAGCCCCCAATGAAGTGCATAATTAATTTAATTACAGATGTTAATAACTTTTTATCCACTGAAGCTATTTCAGAAACAATTACATATTTGAAATCAGCATGAAAAACTGTCCAAGATGGTGAGGTTTGGTCAAGATTGAGCCAAAAACAGAAAAAAAATTTTAAAGACCCATTTCCCCCCTTAAGAAATACGAGCACAGCAGAACCTAAAAAGCATCTTTGTCACAATACAAGAATGTAATGACGTGAAGCATACTAAATCTGAAAGGGTTACTTTCAATTGCACATTGACTGCATTTGTCTTAAGGAAGTTCGAATAGTTTGAATAGGCAGCATTCCGGTGCAAATCAAATCAAATGGCACACGATCTTTGAAATATATTCAAGATGTCAAATATTCGCACACCCCTACTTAAAACAAGAATAAATGTTCTAAACCAATTTACACAAAAGTATTTTCAAGTGAGTCCGCATTTCACTTAAGAATATTCGACAAAGGACAAGGACATCCGTTCTTACGAATTCACCGTAAGTTGAACCATGAGTCCAGAGCTTGGCATGAAACAACACTCACTTTCGCAACTGTACGGTTTCTCGGCGTCCGAGTACTCAATGCGGGTCCTCTTCTTCTGACCAGCATTCTGCAAAGACATCAGTAGCCTGGATAAGTTCTTGCTTTTATAACAACATTTTGCTCTGACGTCAGATGCTGTTTTGGATCCTACTGACAGACGTGCATTGCTGAAAGCTTGACAAAAATTTGAGGATGCTTATGCTTCACGATCAAGAGTAGACCGCTAATGCCTAATCAGGCCCTGTGTGCATCGCCTCCTCAACTGTCAGCTTAGATTCGGTTCTCAGTGCATTCCTCAACCATGCCACAAGGACAAGCACAACGGTGCATGCAATCTTGGCCAGTTCTCAACTGTCAGCTTAGATTTGGTTCTCAGTGCATTCCTCAACCATGCCACAAGGACAAGCACAACGGTGCATGCAATCTTGGCCAGTTCTCAACTGTCAGCTTAGATTCGGTTCTCAGTGCATTCCTCAACCATGCCTCAAGGACAAGCACAACGGTGCATGCAATCTTGGCCAGTTCTCAACTGACAGCTTAGATTCGGTTCTCAGTGCATTCCTCAACCATGCCACAAAAACAAGCACAACGGTGCATGCAATCTTGGGCAGTTTCAAGCTATCCTAGATCGCCTTCTGCAAGTACAGTTGGTCAGTGTTCACCACGCCATAATTCTTCATTTTTGCGAATCGGCAAATGGCTCACTACGTGCCTGTAAGGTGACAGACGAACCTATCCAGCTGCTCCCTGCATTGGCTCTTTTCCAGCTGGTGACCATTAAGCATGTCTGAGCACTTCATAATGCGTGGTCCTTTGAAACATGCTGCAATTCGCATGTTTTGATGCCTGGCCCAATTCTAGGCTTTTCTCATGTGGGTTAAGGAGCTGCTATGTATTTTTTTTTTTCTTTTCTTTCAGAGCAGTTTCAAGCAATGATGTTGCTCTCAGTAAGACACCTACTTTCCACGCAAATGGCTTGGTTTCAATTCTCACTCAATCTGCCATTATTTTATTATTTCCTTTACTTCCAAGCTCTCGCACACTACTGCACAAGTCCACTGAACCAAAACCACTGAAAGCACAAGTGTTGTGTGGGGCAATATCAAATATTTGGCAGCAGTGAAAAGCACCACAACAGAAAAAGATGAGATTGAAGAATTTCAGCAGTGTGCCCCAGACCCAAGTGGTCCTAAGACGAGGATGATGAAGTCAAAATTAGGCTAAAGTACCCCCCACAACTATGCTCATCATGGCACAAAAACTGTCTCAATAATTATTAATATACTCACAGCTGTCAATCACAGCCAGTACAAGAGCTGAGCTTATATCTTACCCATGCCAGTTGCTGCCTACAAGTCCCTCAGCACAGATACTCGGCCCACACCCTAGCAGCTCTTTGACTAGCCTGTGTAACGCTGTCCCTTCCATACACGCCCAGTGCGCATTCTCGCTTCTCGTGCCAGCCCAGGAAGACACCCGCAAAGCTGTCGCTTCCCTCCCCCTCTCTTGCCTCACAAGACCGATGCAGGCAGCGTCTGCTAGTAAAAAACCAACTGCTCGCACTGCACAGCCGTTGTCTGGCCATCTAGTTTATGAAGACACTGGGTCACGCGTTCAAAATTCAGTCAAGGGCATCTTTACTTGGCTTTCGCTTGATAAGCACCAGGGTCAACGTTAGAAACTACTGCTTTGCATGTACACATGGTTCCCTTCAGCGGGAGATGGTCCAAGTTCTTTAGCACAGATGAAATGACGTTCTAATCACTACAACTTTTTTTTCATTCTGGTTTTAGTTTTGTTTCGTCAGAAAGTGTTCTATTCGGTTTCTATGCTATAAAAAAACAAGAAAAAATGTTTCATAACACTTTGTAATGGTTTTTATTTGCATACGAAAAATCTAAATTAAGGTAACAATAATGAAAAGTAGACAGAAGCATTATTTTGTTCATAAACAAACTACAAAGTCTCTAGTACCAAATGCTTGTCATCAAAAGAGTGAGCATGATTTTAGAAGCAGCACCTTATCGAGTGTAGTCTCTGTTCTGCTGGTCCACTGTTCTGATAAAATAAACTTAGGCACCAACAATGCCTTCTCCATGATGGCATACCAATGTGTACATGCATTAATATGAGCTGCTTCGGTTCCCACTCTTTACATTTTTCGCAGAACTTCAACTCATTTTTACTATTGGAATTCTTGCCTGAGATTTGCACTAAAATTCTCCCCTGAGGTATGAATTAATGCTCACCTCGCGTGATCTCAGTTGTTCCGGATTGCCACTTTTTTTCTTTACTTCCTTTCATTTATTGATACCATAAAGCCCAATGACACTACAGAGGGTAAAGAAAGTTCACCTAAAAACCAATAAAGATATTTCCGTTGTGCTCTGAAATGAGATAATGAAAGTGTTTAGGCTAAGCTTTTGTTCTAGCCTAAAATAGCTTTATTTTTTTTTTCATTTTCAGTTTTTATTTCATTGTTACACCCTGGCCTTTGACCGAAAAATTCTTCATGATTTCTTTGGCACCCTCTTGTTCCCTGCTTCATTCCCAGCCCAGCTGAACCATGCTTGCTCATAAGTGAGCAGCCTATTCTTAGAGGTATAAATGGCAACAGTGCAGCTGAGGAGCTGTTCTTGACGTGTGCACCTTGTACACTTTAGCGTAGTGCATTCACTTACTATAAAAAGCGGTGAACTGTGACATCACAGCAATATTGACTACATTGACGCATTCAACCAGCTAGCACATTCTCAGTGTAAGAAGAAAGTGGACGAAATTTGCGATGACGGAACATGCAAACAAACTTTACAAGTCTGAACTTCCATATGAACCTCTCCAGGTGTTTGCGAACAATGCATACTAACTTCCAGGTGTATTAGGTGGGAACCTGATTCTAGGGGCTATCGTTCTCAGAGTTCATGCGCAGCCCCGACAACGTGCGTCCAAAAGGGCTGCAATTGTTGCGGTGAAGCGCAATCTGCCTCTCTCATTTGGGTCGAGAGTAGTGAAAGCTTCACGAGTTCAAAACAACAAGAAAGAAGAATGCTGCTCACCGACCAGTCTGCACCGACCAACGTGGACAGTTCACAAGGCATGATGAAGCACCCACCTTTGGTTTTTTTTTCTTCTTGCGCGTGTAGGTCTCGTCGTAGTCCTCAGTGTCCGTCTCGGGATCATCGGGAAAGTCGGCCACCGCGGTGGCTTCCAACAGGGCAGCTGCCGACTCCTGTACCTCATCCAAGTACCACGACTGGTTCGAGTCCTCACCACCCACTGGGGCCTTGTCACCAGCCTCATCTATTCCCTCTGCTGGCCGCGCTGCCACGTTCTCCACCACGCTGATCTGGTGCATGTCTGGACCCACATAAAAACACTTCACTTTCCTTCACCTAATAATGACATTGACATATTTACAAAACAAAACAATGACAATGGGTAGTATGCATGTCTTCCTTCAACTATCACCATACTTAAAATATTCAAAACGAACACCGTAGGGAGAGCGCTTTCTCCAGATTTTGTGGTACACAAAGGTAAATTTATCGCATAGCCGCAAGATGGCAAATTGGGCCAGTTGAATCACGTTCACAATTGATAATTCTGGAGGAAATGCACTGGAAAAACATGGACAGGAAGAAGTAGACAGGACAGTGCTTACACTCACAAGTGACGTTTTATTAATCGGAAAAAGTGTACAAAGCAGATACCAAATCCTCACACGAGCAAACAAGCGAGGCACAAAAAAAGGCACTTGTATCCGAAGTACCATGATATTACAACCACTATGAGTCTAGATACATGTACTCCTTACAGTGCAGCACAATTGTGGCTTGACTAAAACAGTCACGCACCCTCTTCCCTATGTGGTATGATTCTACTATCTCGTGACTCTTGCCACAGATAGCCCTATATACAGTAAAATCTCGTTAACTCGACCCCCGTTGATTCGAAATTTCGGTTAATTTGGCCGTGGCATTTCGTACCGTCCTAAATGTACATTTTTCTATGACTGAAAACTCTCATTAATTCAAACAAATTTGGCCGCGCTTCAGGTTAATTCGAACGCCCAACCGCAGTCAAGTTACAACAGGGAAGCAGCAGCAGACTCTGTCAGCCAAATCTACCGCACCCCTAAACAACTTTAGGATCGGATTGCAGCCTCTGAGATTCAAAACTTCGTCCATAGGTAGTACATCTTGAAGGCACCCAAAAACACACACACACACACACACACACACACACACACACACACACACACACACACATGGTAATTTAAACAACCAAAATGGAAGGCAGTGCATCGCTACTGTCATTAGCAACGGGCAACCCACAAATTTGTCTTTCCTTTTTTCTTACACGTCGAACACGTTTGCATGACGGTTGAGTTGGATTGCTCACCTCTAGTGTGCTTTAAATTATTTATATGTACGTGATCAGTGCCACCTGCAGTTTGTACTGTTTGCTGTTTTTTGAAAAGTTCTCCGGTTTTTATTTCGTTTTTATAGCCGTGCACTTTGTGTGTGTGTGTGTGTGTGTGTGTGTGGTTGTGTGTGTGTGTGTGTGTGTCTGTTGACTACTTCGTGCACGCGCACGTGACCACCCGCGGGAGCAATGCCAAGATGGCTTCCCCTCCGTCTCCTGCGGCCCCAACCGGCGCAACTCTCGCAGCGAAGAGGGCGAAGTACTAAGCAAAGGATTTGGCTGCAAAGGTGAAAATATTGCAGGGGTTGCAAGCGGTAGCATCTCAAAAAGAAGTGATAGAAAAGTGCTATGAGAAGAAAAGCACACTGAGCACTTACAGGGAGAATGAAGAGCAGATTATGCAAGCGTATGATGGGGACATGTCTGGCAACCAAAGGAAGAGGCTTTGAATGGCAGCGCATCCCTAGCTAGAAGAAGCGCTGTTGCGCTGGATTGCCATTTCGCGCGATGCGCGTTTTCCCTTGAGTGGACCTCTTATATGTGCACAAGCAGAGAAGTTCGCAGTGACCATGAACCTTGACTCCTTCAGCGCGTCAGAAGGTTGGTTCGACAGCTTCAAGAAGCGACACAAGCTGGTGTTCCGCAACGTGGGTGGTGAAAGAGGTGCGGCTGACAAAAGTGTTGTGCAGGACTGGCAGTCTGGACTATCTGTGCCCCTTTCTACGTATGAGCCATGCAACATTTTCAACGCTGATGAGACAGCGTTGTTCTATAAGGCTCTGCCTGAAAAGACAATCGCGTTTAAGGGGGACCCGTGCGTCAATGAAAAACGACGTAAAGAGCGCATGACAGTTTTTCTGGCTGCTAACATGACCGGCACAGAGTGGCTGCCGTTGCTGGTGATCGGGAAGGCTGTGAAGCCAAGGTGTTTCAAGAATATTAAGCAACTGCCTGTTGACTACCGGTTCAACAGAAAGACTTTGATGACTGCCGAACCCTTTCAAGCCTGGCTGCGTCAGCTCGATTGCCGCCTTGCGGCCAAGGCTCGAAAGGTGTTGTTCTTGCTATACAACTGTAGTGCGCACACGAAAGTGTCCGGGCCCGAGAACATTGAACTGCTATTCCTGCTTCTGAACAGAACGGCTTCCCTGGAGCCGATGGACCAGGGAATCATACAGTTCAGTGAAAAGCTGCTGTCGACGGCAAGGTACTCGAGCAGATGTTGCTCTGCATGGAGTCAGGCAAGCAGTACGCAGTAAGCCTGCTAAGAGCAATCCCCATGCTGGACATACTCGTGGAACAACACACCTGCCTGCAGTAGTCGCAAACTGCATTACGCATAGCCGCTTCGTGTACGACGCTGCTGATCCAGGGGTGGTGGTCAATGAGGAAACTGGTGAAGAGCAAGACGGCCGCTATGTGAGCATCATGCCAGCTGATGTGCCCTTTGGTGATTGCTTCGCAATTGACAGCAGTGCTGCCATGACTGGCACTGTGACCTGACAGTGATATCGTCGCTGAAGTCTTGAACGGCGAATGGGAATCGGCTGACGAGGACGTAAGTGATGCTAATGAGAGTCCACGCCACACAATGACGGAGGCTGTGCATGCGTTGGCAGTTTTGGAGGACATATGCATGCTTTCCTCGGACAGTGTCGCGAACTAAGCCGCCTGCTGGAACTTCGCAAAATTGTGACTTCGTCGCACATTACGTCCGTGAAGCAAACCGCGATCACAGACTTTTTTAAGAAATAAAAGTCTGATGGTGCAGGAGACAATTTTCAAGTGTTTTGTTTGTACTTGCGATAATTCGTACCCTCGGTTAATTCGGACATTCTCTCCGGTCACGTGAACTTCAAATTTACGGGGTTTTACTGTATTCATGATGTGGCGAAGGTGGCTGGAATGAAAAAGTGTGAAAAGCGAGCCGTGTTTACTTAGTCCAGACATGCTGTCTATCGTGGTCATACGCTACCCTGAGACAGGGTGCGACAGTCAGGAGCAATCCCAGCTGGCATAAAGACAACCGCGAAGGTCACTTAGGACAGAAGCTTGTCATCTTTGTTCCACGTAGTTTAAAGGTTTTTTGTGAGGTATGGTGTTAGCAGAATGATGAAAACTCTGCAGCCTTATTCTGAGCCAGACACAGCAATGCGTGGTACAGAACATTTGCAAAAAGGGGTCCTTTTCCTGAGTTCAATTAGAAGCCACAGTTGTGACTATTTCATCAAAGAAATACAGTTGAACCTGGATATAACAAAATTCACAATTCTCGAGACATTTTGTGATAAAGACGATTTTGTTATAAGCAGGTAAAGCTCGAAATTTCGAAAAATAAACGCACAATTTTAGAAAACTAGAACTGAAGGCAAAGCCAACCCGAAACAGTAATTTAGTGGTAAAAAGACTGCATTATTATTGTGATAGCAATTATATAGACACACACGGCTGCTTTTTGTCGTCGCCGCCACATTCCGAAGAAAGTACGAATTGATAACATGCCCCCGTGCATCGTAACTTTTACGAGCAGATAAAAGCGCACGAGCGCTGCTAAAGCTGTGATCAAATCAGCCGGCCCATCTCGATCGCCTGCAGGGCGAATACGATAACATTCCCCCGAGTGGTGTTAGAACTGCCGTCAAATTCTCAAACAGAAAGGAAACCAACTGTCTTGAACGAGCATGAGAAAACGCGCAACGGGCGGGGGAGAGAGGTGGGGGGGGGGGGGGTCGCTCGAGTAGCAATGGTGAACTTTGATTTTAAGGATGTGGTCGCGATTGCTGGCGCGCCTGCTATCTTGGCAAGCATCAGTGAGTGCACTTTCAAGGCGATGAAACTGTATAACAAGAGCACTTTTTCCTGGAGAAGTCTCTGCGTCCACGAACGTTTAGTAGGAGTTTTGCGATATCGGATCTAAAAGAGTTGGCTGCCAGCCGTACTTCGTATAACATTACAATTTGTTGCTATCGCATCCACTGCATTGCATTCAACGCGCCATCGTGTTACTGCCGTAGCTAATTGCGAAGGCTACAGTGCCATGAACTCGCGGCACAGCACAAGACGGAAGCACAATGATGAATTGACCTTCGAAGGTCTGTCATTGTTATTGTGCTCTAAGAGAGTTTCTATCAGCGCCTAATCTGCCATCTCCTGGCTAGTGACAAGAAAATTTTAAAAAAAAGCTAAGCTGAATGTTGTCGGAGGCCACACCATGCGTGCAAACCATCCACACACGCACAGCGTCAAAAACGAAGAGCGAACGGCACAGATATCCCGGAAAACAATAAGGTAAAGCTCCCGCCATATGTGCAGCACGGCCCCACATATGTCATCATGATCATCAGCTTGACTATGTCCACTGCAGGACAAAGGCCTCTCCCATGTTCCGCCAGTTAACCCGGTCCTGTGCTTGCTGCTGCCAATTTATACCCGCAAACTTCTTAATCTCATCTGCCCACCTAACTTTCTGTATCCCCCTAACCCGCTTGCCTTCTCTGGGAATCCAGTCAGTTACCCTTAATGACCAGCGGTTATCCTGTCTGCGCGCTACATGTCCAGCCCGTGTCCATTTCCTCTTCTTGATTTCAGCTATGATATCCTTAACCCCCGTTTGTTATCTAATCCACTCTGCTTTCTTCTTGTCGCTTATGATGCATTCAGACGACGGACCGAATCCGGATTTGTCGTGGACGCGGACAGCTAATCCGCGGATGGTCCGCCTGCAGGCGCATCCACACGACGGACGATGTCCTAGGGAAAAACAGCCGGATTACCCTCGACAGCAGATTCGGCGCTCACCTGCGCCCGCTGGCAGCAGACCGGCTTGAGAGTATTCAACATGGATGCCCGCAAGAAGCGAAGCTTGGCTGCGATGTCTGTCGTGTTGTGACAAATGAACGAGTAGTGTTATTCTTTCAGGAGAAAAGGGAGTT